CCAGCTGGGGCGGACCTCCTCTTCCAGACCAGTATGCTCCTGACACACCAGAACCCGAACAAGAAGAATCAGAAGAAGTTACTTACGAGTTCTTCGAAGGAGCAGTGACTCTACTTGAACCTACCGAGGAAGCACCGCCACCCGAACAAGGGCCTCAGCAAATTGAAGTCATCAGCGATGAATACAGCTACCTTCGCATCCCCATGAAAGGACTCCCCGTCTTCGACTGGCCCAAGGCGCCACCATCCTCGTATCTGCTCGTCACTGGCGAACAAGCCCACGCTGATGACACAGATGACATCATCGGAATCCCTCGCGCGCTCCTGGAGCGAGACTCCATTCGAGCCTTCCCGACTGACGCCGACGCCGCCACCGACACGGGACCTGGACAGCAGCAGAACGACGAAGCGGAAAGGCACAAATATTATCAGAAGACTGTCGGATACCGTGCGGAACCAGAAACATGGCATCAGCGACTCGGACACCCCTCACACGCCACGCTCAAGAATCCCCTCAACGCTGGTGTCTTTGAGGACGGGGCACTGCTTCTTCCTCGCGGGGGTTCTCTCACAGTGGAATCAGACGACCCGCCGTGCACTGTATGCCCGACTGCGTCACTCGCCCACAAACCCTTTTCTGATCTACCCCCCGGCTACAAACGTTACAAACCACTCGACAAAGTCTACAACGACTTTATGGTTCTCAACCAGGAAGGGTTCGATGACGAGCACTACACGCTCACCTTCATCGACGCATGCGCCCGCTACGTTTGGACCGTCAACACCGATTGCCGCTCTCTTGCCTTCGAGTGCTTCATCGCATGGATGAAGCGGGCAGAACGTCAATCTGGACTGAAGCTTAAAAGCTACCAGACAGACGGAGCTCTGGAGTTCTTCTCAACTGAGTTCAAGGAACTCTTCAAGCAGAAGGGGATTGAGCACCTGGTGTCCCTGCCCTACGCTCACGAGCAGCAAGGAGTAGCTGAAAGGACTAACATGAGCCTCGCTACACGGATGAGGGCCCTGATGAAGCAGTCGGCCATCCCAACCAGATATTGGCCGTTTGCGATGAACCACGATGTTCGGCTGTAAAACTTGCTGTCCTCCCGAAACCTCGACAACAACAATCCTCCCTACAAGGCTTGGACGGGCAGAAAGGCGGACACACGCTTGCTTCGAGTGTTCGGCTGCATGGTACAGTACAGGCCACACACAGCAAGGACCAGAAAGTTTACTGGCCAGGCTCGCTGGAGCATCCACCTCGGGATCGAAAAGGAATACAAGGCGTGGATCGTGTTGGGCTTCCCGACACACGAAGTAACGAAATCACGTGACTGCATCTTCTACGAAAAGCCGTCTCTGCCACTGTTCAACGAACACCACAAAGCTGACAGGGCACCGGGAAGGGTTTTCGAGGGACGCCGTAGCTTCGCAACCCCACATGATGAAGTTGACCTGGCAAAAGATGCAGATGCAGCAGATGTCACCCAGTTTGATAGCGCACCCAACATCCCCCTTACAAGCCCACTTCAGACTCCGACATTTATCTGTGTACATCAATTCGATCCCGACGATACAGCTCGCGAAGCCCACAACTACAACAGTGCAGCGCGCCGATCCCCGAATGCCGAGTTACCACCGCCATACACCTCGCAAGACACCCTCCGCCTCGGCAACGACAGCGACGACGATGTGGTCGAAGTTACCAGCTTTCACGACTACGATCGCCTCCGCTACGAAAAGACCAACGAATCAGGCCTCCGCATTCTTGGGCTCGCCGTAGCTGTTCGCCACGCCTCCCCCAAGGAACCCACCACCGTTCGCCAGGCCCTGTATGGCCCCGACACTGAGAAATGGAAGACAGCCATGGCCGCTGAATTCGCAGCACTGAAGAGCCGCGGCACGTGGAAGCTGGTCCCCCGCTCATCAGCCAAGGGGAGGAAAATTCTCAGTGGCAAATGGGTTTTCCGCATTAAAACCCTTGCTGATGGCTCCATCGACAAGTATGAAGCGAGATGGGTGGTGCGCGGCTTCGAGCAAACTCACTTGGTGGACTTCGACATCACCTACGCGCCTATCGGAAGACACACCTCGGTGCGCATCCTCATCTGCATCGCAGTCGTCAAACAGCGCCCGCTTCGTCAAATCTACGTCGGCTGTGCGTTCCTGTACGCCCCCGTCGACGCCATCATCTTCGTCGAGCAGCCGCATGCCTTCGAGGAAATCGACGGCGCTGTCTGTCTGCTTCAAAAATCTCTCTATGGGATCAAGCAGGCGCCTCGACTGTGGCAGCAGTACCTGCACACCGTCCTCACGGAGCTCGGATTCAACCAGCTGCCACATGACCTCGGGATGTACCGGAAGGAGTCCCGCGGCAAGTTCATTCTCCTCGTCGCCTACGCCGACGACCTACTCTACACCGGCGACGACACGGAGCTACTGGACCTGTTCGAGGCAGACATCAAAGAGAAGCTGGAGGTGACAATCAACCACAACGTCACACAATTTCTGGGCCTCAACATCACCCAGTCCGCCACCTCCATTCATCTCTCCGCCGCCAGATACGGCGACACACTCGCGAAGAAGTTTGCCGTCGCACCCATCAACCTCACTACTCCCTTCCGCACTCCTCCTCCTAATCACGAACCGAACACCACACCGCTCTCCATCGAGGATCATCGGCTCTATTAGCAGCAGCTGGGTTGCCTTCTGTTCGTCGCCGTCACGTGCCGGCCTGATCTCTCCTACGTCGCAAGCCAGCTCGCTCAGTACATGAAGCGACCTGAAGGGAAGAATCTACTGGACCTACATCGAGCACTTCAATACTTCGTCTCTACCCCTGACGTCGGACTCACCTACAAAGCTAATCTCACCGCCACTCTGCAGCTCCATGGCTACATAGACGCAGACCACGCAGGAGACATTGACAACAGACGCTCTCGCACACGATTCATTTTTCAGCTCTAACCGGCTGGACTCATATCTTCGAACTCCCAGAAGCAGGAACTCATTGCTCTTTCGTCAGCCGAAGCTGAGTTCATCGCCGCCAGCGCAGCTGTTCGCGAAGGACTGAACCTGATGGAGCTCCTGTAGGAAGCGAAAGTAATGATGAGGCACTTCAAGTTACTCTGCGACAATCAGAGCGCGATCAAGGTCGCGAACAAGCCCGGCTTCGTGAACCGCACAAAGCACGTTGCACTCTGCTACTTCTTCGTCAAGGACAAAATCGAGAAGGGCAAGGTCAAGCTCACGTACCGCCCAACCGGTGACATGGCAGCTGATCTTCTGACGAAGAAGCTGCCACGTCAAAAGTTCCAGCATTGCGCCGACCTCTGCGGGATCACCAAGAAATCCCACGTGGCTCACCTTCAGGAATGAAGGGGAGTGTTGGGATAATCGAAAGGTCATTGTAAAATTCCCGAAGGTTTCCCACTGACGCGTCACTCCATAACAGAACAACGCGCAGTAGCAGTGCCGCAGTAGCTCATATAGAGCATGCGGAAGATCAAGAATCACCCGAAGGTCAACAGTCGAAGGCAGTCAACGGTCGTGACTCTTGACCATCCAGTAACCGCACTCGGTAGTTACGCGATGCAACATGGTGACTGTCGAGAATAGCAATAGTCGTGGTTACTGTAGCTATGCAATGGAGTTAATAAGGGAATGTATCCCTCAGAGTACATGGCTAGTTAGTTGCTTTTTAAACTCTTGTACTTCTATCTTATATTCATCTTGTTCCCTTTCAACTTTTTTTAACAAGGTCACTACTAAGACTTCATTGTCTTCTCCTAGACTTGCAGAGTTATCCTATCCACTTCGATCCTTGGGTTATATCAGCATTGAGCGGTTCCTGATTGACGCGGGACCCTTGCGATCCTCTCGACGGTTCTCACCAGCGCAAACCACTCAGTCGCAACTAAAAAATTAACTAAGAGAAATTCGTTATAAGAATGATATAAACCACATCACTAACTCGTATGTCCTTCAGCCATCCGATATAAAAGGCTTAGAAACCCACTTTGTAAACTACAGTAGGTAGGCAAAAGCTAGTCCAAGAAGCAAGCGCCGGTGGGCGAGAGCAGTTATTCATTAATAATAATAAATAAAATCCAAGCCTACAGATAAAGGAAAAGTTGTAGAGCATTTAAAATCTTATCCGTATGCAAGCGGTAATAAGTTAAGAGATACTATAGCTGTACAATTACCGATGAGTATTTCTTAATGATACTTTTGCTAGAAAGAAGAAGAAAGGATGAAGGAGTAAAAAGAAAGCAGTAAGAAATCGAAGAGAGTGGTAAGAAGGGGAGAGAAGGATAGAGGAAAGGAAACGAAAGTGGGAGGTGGGTAGAGGACAGGAGAGAGGGAAAGAGACTAAGGAGAAGGAAGCACAAAGGGAAGAAACACGGCAGCGACCCGCACAATACGTGGGCACAACGTTTCAAGCACAGCCACTACACATATGCATCATATATTTATTGCATTTTTGCAATACTCTCGAAGCACCCTGTGATGTAGTGCCAGGTACCCTGCCACGCACCCAATAGGACAGGTGCAGGCATCCACCGATTGTCGGATCCCCTCAACTGTCGCAGCGCATGCTGTATGATGCATTGAGCTTGCGCATGTTGCAGTGCCACTGAGTGACGTATAGTGAGTCCTGTCTCAAATGTCCGTGTCGATCCGTCATCCCCACCTCCCAAATTTCTTGTCCCCTATGCTATCCTCTTCGCCCAGAGCCCCGGAAACTGATGCAGTGGCTCGCTTGGTAGCCCAAACGTCTCAGCCACGCACGCGGAAAACTGTGGTGCTGGCTGCAACTCTTCCAGGTACAGCCCCCACTGACGCAGCTTCTCCTGCACCCGCCTAGCTGCTGCCATTCCAATTTGTGTGGGGTTCGACCGTATGAGTTGTACGTTCCCCTCCCGGTGTGGATCTGCTAAAAAGACATCCACGTCGCGGCAGGTGAGGTCTGGGATGCGGGAGGAGGTGCCTACACGGCCTATGCGTCCGGCTGGTCCGACTGCTGCTGCACTGGCTGCTGCCCTGTCTGGTCCCTCGGTGCCTCCTCTCCTATCGTCTCTCTCCCCCTATCCTCTCCTCCACCCGCCTGTTCCCTCCCCTCTCCTCTGTACGCTCCTCCACCCCTCCCAACTCCCCTCCTCGATCCCTTGCTGCCCCTCTCACTCCTTGATCCTCACCTCCCGATCCTGCTGCCCCCCCTGTACCTCTAACCGGTCTCTGCTGCTCTAGCCCCTGCCCGACCCCCGAGTCGAAGCCCGGAGGCGCGGCGCCCGGAGCCTGCGACCTCTGCTGGCTCTCGTGCTACTGCCTTTGCTGGTCTACTCCCTCTGCCGTCCCCTCTGCCCACCCGGCCCTCGCACCGCCCGACCCCGCAACTGATGCTGTCCCCACTGCACTCCACCACACGGCTGTCCCGCCTCGCCCCTCTCCTACAACTAGCTGTCCCTGCAGTCTCGCTCGAGCTTCCTCCAGGTGCGTGAACAACGTAGAGGCCTCCACCTACATCGCGAAGCCAGCCGTAAAACTCGCGAACAGCGAAGTCTCAAAGCGTGAACTTCACCGTGTCGTGGACGATAGTGGTGACGCCGAATCATGGGCATCGTCATGTCGTTGTGACCTCTACAAGACATGCAAGTGCTAAAGCGTGACTAGCGAGGTTGGAGAAGTGGCCCCAGCGCGCTGTTACCCGTCGCGATGAGCTTTGCGCCAACGCAACAACTCCCTACACCCGTTGCAGCGCCTCTGCGACGTCCCCATAATGGTGGGATCGGAAGACTGGTCCCGTTGCATCTCGCGAGTCCCATTTCCGAGAGACTCAAAGGGTCGCGCCCGAAACTCACAATCCTCGTCCCGTCAATGACGACCGTTGAAACTGGAAATATAACCGTTGAAAATGTATTATAACAAAAACAAGAATAATTATCTTAAACTCTTGGTCCATAAGCTAATAAAAAAAATAGACTTATTAAGCTCCTTATTAGGCAGCCATGGCTAGGTAAGAGCTAAAAGCGCTGGTGGTCAAGAGCAGTATGTGCTGGGTAGTTTGTCGAGGAGTATTATGTTGGATGACCTATGATTTTTTTCTAGGCTCAACCATGTCCCCAGCATCGCGTCCGGCTACCTATTTGCATATGCGAGACCGAGTGCCCGCCACCCGCCCGCCCCCACGGCACGCGCCCGTCGCCCGCCCGCCCGCCCCACCGCCGGCCCGACCACCCCCGCGCGCCCGCAGTAAGGTGCATGTTAGGAGGTACACAGTTTCTCTCGACTCTATGCTTGTAACCCTCCCTTTTACCAAATCTCATCAATTCTCCTTAGTATCTCAACACGGTAATAAGAGCTTAGGGAACGGTATCCACATAATGATATATTTGTAGACAATAGGGGAGAGAAAGACGAAGAAGAAAGGATCAAGGAGTGATAACAAATCGTAGGGAATAGAAGAGAGTGGTAAGAAGAGAAGAGAATGATAGAAGAAGGGAAAAGAAAATGGGAGTTCGGTAGAGGAGAGGAGAGAGGGAGAAATATCAAGGAGAAGGAAGCACCAAGGGACCAAACATGGCAGCAAATCACAAAAAAACGCAGGTATAACGTTTCAAGCACAGCCACTAGAGTCTTTACACATATGAATCATATACTCAGATATATATATACATATATATATATATGTTGCATATTGGCAACACTCTCAAAGCGCCCTGTCATGTAGTACCAGGTACCCTGCCCCACACCTAGTGGGAGAGGTGCGGGTATCCACCCGTCGCCGCATCCTCCCAACTGCCGCACCGCATGCTGTATGATGCATCGAGTCTGAGTGCACTGCAGTGCCGTAGAGAGACATGTAGTGAGTCCTGTCTCAAATATCCACGCCGATCCGTCATCTCCCCCTCCCAAATCCCTCCTCCACTGTGCTATCCCCTTCAGACAGAGCCCTAGAAACTGACGCAACGGCTCACTCAGTAGCCCAAAGGTCTCAGCCATGCACGCGTAAAACTGTGGTGCCAGCTGCAACCCCTCTAAGTGCGGCCCCCAGTGACGCACATTCTCCTGCATCCGCTTAGATGCTACCACTCCAATCTGTTTGAGGGTCGGCCGTAAGAGTTAAACGTTCCCCTCCCGCTGTGGATCCGCTATAGAGATATCCACATAAACCTTTAAAGTCTGCCCAACGTTGCGGTAGGTGAGGTTTGAGATGCAAGAGGGGGTGCCTACACAACTTGTGCGTCCGTGTGGTCCCTGCTGCTACACTGGCTGCTGCCTTATATGGTCCTTTGGTGCCTCCTCTCCAGTCGTCTCTCTCCCCCTATCCTCTCCTCCACCCGCCTGTCCTCTCCCCTCCCCCTCTCTACGCTCCCCCACCCCTCCCAGCTCCCCCCCTCGATCCCTTGCTGCCTCTCTTACTCCCTGATCCTCACCTCTCAATCCTGCTCCCCCCCATGTACCCCTATCCACTCTCTGTTGCTCTCGACCCTGCCCCCCCCTCCAAGCCCAAGCACGGAGGCACGGCGCCCGGAGCCTGTGACCTCTGCTAGCTCGCCTGGTGCTGCCTCTGCTGGTCTTCTCCCCCTACTGTCCCCTCTGCCCACCCGGCCCTCACACCACCCGACCCCGCAGCTGATGCTGTCCCCACTGCACTCCACCACACGGCAGTTCCGCCTCGGCCCTCTGCTCCCCCAGCCCGCGTCCCCCCTCCTACGACTGGCTGTTCCTGCAGACTCGCTTGAGGTGCTAGGTGCGTGAACAGCGTAGAGTCCTACACCTTCACTGCGAAGCCCGCCTCGACAGCAAGGTCTCAAAGCGTGAATTTCATCGTGTCTTGGATGATAGTGGTGACGCCGAATCGTGGGCATTGCACTGCGTGATGAGGCACCGTCATGTCGTTGATTGCCTGTCCACAGGAGCACTGACCTACAAGGGTTAAAGCGTGACTGGCGGGCTTGGAGAAGTGGTCCGCGCGCGCCGTTACTCGTTGCGGTGAACTTCACACCAACGCAACAACTCCCAGTACACCCGCTGCAGCGCGTCCGCGACATCCCTGCAATGGCACGGCCGGAAGTTTGGTCCCGTTATACCACGCGAGTCCCATTTCCGAGAGACTCAGAGGGTCGCGCGCGAAACTCACGACCACCGTCCCGTCAATGTCGACCGTTGAAACTGAAAATATAATTGTTGAAAATGTTTTTAACAAGAACAAGAAAAACCATCTTAAACTCGTAGTCCATAAGCTACTTCAAATATTAGGCTTAGTAAGATCTTTAGTAGGCAGCCATGACTAGGGAAGAGCTAGGTCAAGAAGCGAGCGCTGGTGGGCGAGAGCAGTACTAGGCTGGATAGTTTGTACAGGAGTATTATGTTGGATGACCTATGATTTTTTTCTAGGCTCAACCACGTCTCCGGCATCGCGCCCGGCTGCCTATTTGCATATGCGAGTCCGAGCGCCCGCCGCCCGCCCGCCCCCGCGGAACGTGCCCGTCACCCACCCGCCCGCCCCACCGTTCGCCGCCCACCACCCATCGTGCAACTGTAGCCCCTACCTCACGCTCCCGTGTGGCAGCCCTTGCTATGACTGATTGATTCACAAGTGCCATCCTCATTATTGCCCATCGCAAAGGTCCGCTATTGTTTGGCATTCCGATTGGGGCGAGACTTGGAGCAGGCTTGCCCTATGCTCATATGTACCTTCTGTCTCCCTAGATGTAGTTTGGCATGTCCATACTTCAGTCTCTTCAAAAGCATGTTGCTAACCATGACGCCTAGATTGCAATACATACCTTCCTAATGCTTGACGTATGTTGGATCTTGGTCACATAGGCAACATATATGATGATCAAGATCGAAATGGTTGCAGTCTATTAGAGAAAATGTTGTGTTGATGATATAGGTTAGGATATATGCAAGATAAGGGAGGGAATTTTGGAACAGTCGGGGCTGTAAAGTAGTTTCCTTATCAGAAGGCAAAAACAAGCCAACGAGCGTGTGCAACTAAAAGGACAACTATACCAATATATTCAACTGAGGACACAATGAAGTGTGAAGGAATGGTGGATAATGATTGGAAGTGGCAGCACAAAATCATGTCAAAGTTCTATTTGTAACTGTAAGTTAATTAGTTATGCTCGTACCCCTCCCTTTTGACATTATCTCATCAATTCTCCTTAGTCTCTCATCATGGTATTAAGAGCTTAGGTTAGGACGTTCCTTGCCTGCCCAAATTTTTTTATCTGCCCGTCGGGCGTCATTTCCGCTGCCCTGATCGCAATCCCCTGCTCTGTCCGCTAGCGTCGCGCTGCCCCGCTCGATCACGACCCCTGCCCCGTTCAATCGTGGCCCCTTGCCCCATTCTATCGCGACCCCCTCCCCCGCGGGGGCGACGACTGTTAAACACCGATTTCGGTTACGTAAAACCGGTTCCGTGTTTTTCACTCCCCCACGTTTCTTGTTTTCGGACATGCAATGTCAGGGATGGAGGGGCAAGGCGGCAATTTCGCATCCGCCCAAGACATCGCCAGCCTTCGCATTGACGTTGAGGAGACGCAGGCGGCAATTCGGCGAATCGAGGCCCTTCTGACGAACCAATCGGTAGCCACCACAGCAGCAGTGAATGCGGCAGCGAACGTTGCAGCGACAGCAGCAGCAGCAGCAGCAGCGGCGACATCGACAATTCACAGACCGATGGCACCACCTTCGCCGAACCTCGAAGCAGCTCGCCCGAGGCTGTTGGGTGCAAAATACTATTTTTGCACTGCAACCAGCCGCCTGCATGTCGTGCATTTTGTGTGTCTTCTGTGTGCATTCGTTTTCGTATTTCGTTTCATGTGTTATTGTTGTGGGAACATGATCAGTCATGACGGATCATGATGAGTCATGTTCGTTCATGTCTGCTCCTCTACGTTCAAGTTTTTTCATGGACGAACATGCGCGTTCATGAAAGTTCTGTGTTTCATGAATGCTGAGTTATTTTCATGAGCGTTGTTGTGAGTGTCGAGTGTGTTTGGTGTGGGGCTCGATTGTTTGACCAGCCCCGTTGACCACTTCGCGCTGGTCAACTAAAAAGTACGCGAAGTCAGGACCCACGCGTGGGTCGTCACTGTTTCGATCATGCACATTGTGCACGATTGATACAGGACGGAGCGACATGATCGCTCCGTCACGCGCAGGACAACGCATGATCGCGTCAACGATCGTCTTGTCCTGCACAATCAAGAACACTCTCGGTCGTGATGAGGGGCATGTGGGGCACGTGGGGCACTCGGGATTCTACAGTTGACTAACCGGATTTCGCGCTGACTTGGCGTGCAGGAATGTTCGCCAGAAAGTCGCGCTGCTTTGCGTCGTTATTTCGACAGTGGAACAAAACAGTGAAGTCTGTTTTGTAACTGAAAACGGGAAACACACACGAGTGCTCATGATTTGTACACGAGCGATCATGGATGTTCATGAGGGGAGTCAGCAAGAGAATTTGGCAGCAGTGCAGTTTGAA